AAAGGTTTTGTAATACCTCAATTTTTTTCAAAGTCCATTTACATATGGCTTTGAAACTTTGCACACTTGTTCACCATCATGACCCCAACCTGTAGACAGGAGAAGGTAACTGTATCAAGCATTTTGACAGAATTATGACCCCTTTTCGACTTAGAATTTACGTGAAAGTGTCTGTAATACCACAAATATTTTCAAAGTCCATTGACATATGGCTTTGAAACTTTGCACACTTGTTCACCATCATGACCCCAACCTGAAGACAGGAGGAGGTAACTGTATAAAACATTTTGACAGAATTATGCCCCTTTTTCGACATGGAATTTACATTTAAGTTTGCATACCACCTCAGATATTTTCATATTATATTGACATCTGGCTTTGAAACAAGTTGAAATTTTATACTCTTCTCTGAGAGCATACTAGGACTCTCTCCAAGGCCTATATAACTGTAACATGGTTTAAAGAAAAATTTTGCCCTTTTGTTAACTTAGAAAATGTTACATTATCAACACTCTTTTACTATCAAGCACTAAGAATAGTCGAGCGCTGCTGTCCTACCAACAGCTCTTGTTGGTTATATCAGCACAAGTTAATGTCATGGTTCTATGTTGCTACATTACAACAATTTTGTCTGTAGTTTTGGGTGAAAATCTCCATTAAGGCTCAGGTTTCTTCAGGATTGATGACATAGGCATTTGAGTAGAGTCCCTCAGCTTTACACGTACTACAAATCATGGCTGAAATAATGCATCTTGTAAGTTGCTTTATGACATTTACAATGACATTGTGACTAAAAGAAATTTCAGTGGCAATGAGCCAGTTATTCTGTACTTTCATGAACATTTTGGGTAACAAATTGTTTGCATATTTTTTTCTTCACAAAAAATAAATTGCCGTTCTAGATATTTTTTTTTAGAAATGATAAGAGTTTGATTTCAGTGTGAAGGTCTTATTAGTTTATTTATGTAGCACAGCAGCATTGAACTGTCTGCCAAATTTCCTTCAGATTTTCAAAGAAACTTTAATGGATAGGAAATGATAATGAATCTATATTATCTATATCATCTGATTTTCACAGTATCTTTAATGATTATGAAAAATTACAGGGGAGCTAGGTGCTCTCTAATTAACTTTCTTAGAATATTATAGAAAACTTAATGGAAATATAAATGGGTTATAAAATTAGTTTTTTATGTAACCCTAAAGAGAATAATTTATTATAAATTTTACTGTTGTTTTCAAAGATAGGTAACTTTAAAGCTCCACTTTTCAGAAAAAAAGCAGAGCTATTGCCATGACCCTCTGTACGCATTAATTGTATTTGGTTAATTTGGTGAAGTTTTTGTTTATGGTATTAGAAAACATTGATTCTTCTTGTGGATGCATCTTGAGTTCTGGCTGTCACATTCAAGTTTATATGTTAAGGTCAGTTGGACTGGTTGGAACTTCAACCTTTGTATGCAGACACACACATTTGCCATGTCCAGTTCCAGGTCAAAGGTCAAGGTCATTGGGACCTGTTGAAACTTCATATTTTGTATGCAGTTGCACCTTTACAAGTTCTACTTGTCATGCCCAATTCCAGGTCAAAGGTCAAGGTCACTGGGACCTGAATTAACAAAACATGAAATTGGCCATAATGTCAAAGTGCATTGACCAAAGAACTTTAAACTTTATATGTAGATGCTCCTTGGTAAGTTCTCCCTGCCATACTCATTTTGGGTTTTAAAGGTCACGGAGACCTTTAATTTTAATCATCATTTTATATCTAAAAATGTGTATTGGACTGACCAGCACGGAGTTTCCTCCTCATGCTCTTGTTTCAAGTAAATAGGGAGAAATACATATTTGCTAACCATATAGCATTTCATTTTTATGCAGCTGAATGGTTTTATTTTACTTTCATCCCTTGATATCATTTTTTTTGAGTATCGTGATCATGTTTGTTCTCACCAGTTGTAACCCATTTAAGTTTTAAAATTTAAATTACTCCCTATCTACTGTACCATCATCTACTACAGCACCATCTGTAGTCTATATATAATTGAGTAGATAAGTTCAACAGCCAATTTGATTATGCTGCAGCAAGTCGTCCAACTTAAATGCTGCTATGGAGTCATTATGTTGGATAGCCTCAATGGCCAAATGGTTAAGGTCACCTTAGGTTGTTGTGCGACCTTATGGTATCAATGTGCCTTTATCAATAATCAAAGTGCTGCAGCACTGAATGCGACGGACATGCAACCGGAGAGACACCAAGGCTTCTTTTAGAAAAACAAAACAAAACAAAAACAAAACACAAAATATATAACAGAGAAAATTTGTTCCATACAAGTTCGAGATTTGTAGAGCAATATATTTTGTGTCCCAAATTGATATAATTCAGATTTTCTACTTTCAAGCACTTAAATACAGAATGAAATTTATGCCTAAAAACTCTGGTCAAACTTGTAAATCAGTGTCCTTATCGATTTATTCTAAGAAATGATATGTAAATAGAAAAAAAAACTATCAACGAAATATTTCTAGAATAAATCCAGGCAAATAAACTTCAAACATAATACATTGTACATTTGAGAATGCTATTTAGAATTGCTTCGTGTTATATCATAGTGGGCATACAGACAATAAAATATAAGTCATTTGTATTTTTATTTCTCTTGGATATGTCTCATTAAAAAAAATTGGTTAAAATCATCAGCAATTAATAGTGTATTCCTTAGATTTTTTTATTTACAAGGTAAAGATGTAGAGGCCAGAGCACATCGTTTTTATTTTAATTTAAGTGTCACTTAAGCACTACAGTGTTTAGTTGTCCTTTTCAACTTCACACTAAATTCCATTTTCAACTTGTTTGCTTCTTACAATTGTATAGCATTTCTAAAAGTATTGCATTACAATCCGCTGGTTTATTAATTACATGTTTAATGTGTACTTCCTAATCGCCTGTCCAAAAATCAGAACAGGTAAAGCAGAATCTATTTTTAGAATATCGAAGGTTAACTCATATCATGACCTAGTAAAATATGTAAACAAACCACAAGAATCGGAAGTAGAACTGATATTATAACTTCCTTACCATGATTTCAAGACTACATGGCGGTAAAGTGTCTTACATGCATTTTCAAAAATAGATATTTATACTAGCCATTGAACTGTATCTAATATATTAATAACTGCTGAATATTCAGCTAAACCCGCGGTATGAGTCACGAAAATAGTTCTTCTTTTATTAATGCGCGAGTTATCCTAGAGTCACGAAAAACTTTTGATTTGTTAATAATAATGTTTTGTATAATGTAGAAATATTTATTTCCTACTAATAATGTCTTGGAACTCAGAGGTTACACCTTTATTGTAGTATAATTTGCTGTCCTACTTTTTCGACAGCGGTAAATCGTTTCAGCAGTAATTTGCATATTGCGCAATAATACTACGGGACTACAACGTTTTTATCAATAATATACGTTCATATTTTAACTTGGATAACTTAATTTGAAATTGAAAAGGCTAAATATGGAAGACATTAAGATATCCAGAGAAAGTATGGGAGTTTTGAAGGATCAAATTCATGTACTATTTCTTGGGCTGTTAATTGGTTTAGGACACATTGCGCGAGTGTAGCCAACGAAATCCCATGTGTAGATGACTTAGCTCTGAACGCGCCTGAGGGCGCGTCCGTCGCAAAAAAGTTATCATTTTAATCCATCTACACTTGATTATGTCTGTAAATGCAGTAAAATAAACTGTGCATTCTTATGTTTATTCTTCGAGCATGTATGGCATTCCTGCTGTTTGTTTCTTTTGATTATGATATGCATGGAATGGTTTTATATCTGTTATCAAATATGAATCAGTAGATATCATAAGAGACTCAGGTGCTGGAGACCTTATTGCAGACAATTTGATCTGCAGATAAAGATGGTATTAATATCTTGATAGTCCATAGATATCAGGCAAGATTATCTTATAGGATTTGTATGAGTCCTACTTGCCTTGTGTATTGGAAAATTATTGTTGTTGATCTCGGTCTGCGATAATCCTGCGATATAATTTTGGATATAATTTTGCGTCTGTCATATTCTTCAGTGTCGGAAGTGCTTGTACATGTATATTTTGGAGTATACTTGTGTTTATGTAATTTAGAATATGATGATATATTTGCATATTTTTGTATATTTTTATTTTTTTTTGGTGAGATTTATTTCTCATCTTGCAGTAATGTGATATAGTTGGGAGATAGGTTGATGGAATTAGATTTCGGCAGTATTGTATTTTGATTTAATTTCAGACAATAGGAAAATATTTATGATATTTATGATGTAATGTTAAGTTATAAATGTTGGATTTTACAATTGTTTTTACAGCTATTACTTGCTTGGGTATACAGACGAGGAAATATTCTTTCGATATATATATACATGCATATATTTCCTGTAATGTGAGAAACGAGGATTAATCGAATGTTTTACTGCATTTGTTTAGCATATGAATAACGGTATGTGGAGAATTCTCGTCGAATTTAGAAACAATACGCTGCACTCGTTATTTAATTAGTTTTGCAGATAAAAAAGAAAGAAAAAAATTCATGTGTCTGAAATGAGAAGCAGAGAGTGGAAAATTTGTATGATTTTTAATATTTCTGAAGTGCACAGAATTGGTTGGAATAATATTTTGGGACTAATATTTAGACTGATGTGTGTTCAAATTTAAGTGACATCTGTGATTGATAGATGTATCGTTGAATGTTGTAATAAAACAATATTGAATATAAATAACATATAGTTGGAAAAAAGGACATTGATTTCTGAGAAAAGTGACTGGGAGGGGGAAAAAAAGTTGAAATGTGATGACTGTTTGACCCTGGTGTGTTAATATGACATTTTAAATGTTTATTTTGTAATACTGTTTGTTTGACATTGTTATAATGTATAACATTACAAACATATGAATAATATCATGTGACTCAGTTGTTACAATAGTGCTTCTCATATTTTCAGTGAAGACAGAGTGATAGACTATTACAAGAAAATATCTGGGACTACCAAAGGATCTGCCATTGTAAAGTAAGTATATTTTAGTTTAGTTTTATAATCTATTTATTAAATTGGAAAAAAGAAATCATAATTATATGCGTGCAATACATTGAAGATGGGGATATTTTTAAATAAATTTAATTAGTTATAAATGGAAATACTCTGCTTTTTAGCTCACCTGTGCATGCTCAGGGTGAGCTTTTAGGATCGATGATTGTCCGTCCGTCGTCCGTTCACATTTTGTTGTTAACATTCTAGCGGTCGCATTTTTGCCTCAATCATCATCAAACTTGGTCAGGATGCTTATCTAGTTGATAGCTCGGATGAGTTCGAACATGGGTCATCTCGGATGAAAAACTAGGTCACAAGAGCTAAAAATAGAAAAACCTTGTTAACACTCTAGCGGTCACATTTTTGCATCAATCATCATCAAACTTGGTCAGGATGCTTGTCTAGGTAATAGCTCAGATGAGTTCGAACATGGGTCATCTCCGGATGAAAAACTAGGTCACTGGAGCTAAAAATAGAAAAACCTTGTTAACACTCCAGCGGTCACATTTTTGCCTCAATCATCATCAAACTTGGTCAGGATGTTTATCTAGTTGATAGCTAGAATGAGTTCGAACATGGGTCATCTCGGATGAAAACCTAGGTCACAAGAGCTAAAAATAGAAAAACCTTGTTAACACTCGATAGAGTTCACAATTTTGCCTCAATCATCATCAAACTTGGTCAGGATGTTTGTCTAGGTGATAGCTTGGATGAGTTCGAACATGGGTCATCTCGGATGAAAAAGTAGGACACCGGAGCTAAAAATAGAAAAACCTTGTTAACACTCTGGCGGTCACATTTTGGCATCAATCATCATCAAACTTTGTCAGGAAGCTTGTCTAGGTGATAGCTCAGATGAGTTCGAACATGGGTCATCTCAGATGAAAAACTAGGTCACCGGAGCTAAAAATAGAAAAACCTTGTTAACACTCCAGCGGTCACATTTTTGCCTCAATCATCATCAAACTTGGTCAGGATGCTTATCTAGTTGATAGCTCGGATGAGTTCGAACATGGGTCATCTCGGATGGAAAACTAGGTCACAAGAGCTAAAAATAGAAAAACCTTGTTTACACTCTAGCGGTTACAATTTTGCCTCAATCATCATCAAACTTGGTCAGGATGTTTGTCTAGTTGATAGCTTGGATAAGTTTGAACATTGGTTATCTCGGATGAAAAACTAGGTCACAGGAGCTAAAAATAGAAAAATTTTGTTAACACTCTAGTGGCTACTGTTTTGATCCAAATATCCTGTAAATTGGTCTGAAAGTTTGTTTGGATGATTTCTAAGTCAAGTTCGAACATGGGTCATCTTGGATGAAAAACTAGGTCACACCGCCCAAATATGGAAAAACCTTGTTAACATTCTAGTGGTCACATTTTCGACTCAATTATCATCAAACTTGGTCAGGATGCTTGTCTAGGTAATTGCTCGGATGAGTTCGAAATCGCATGTGAAACTAGGTCACCGGAGCTAAAAATAGAAAAATCTTGTTAACACTCTAGTTGCTACTGTTTTGATCCAAGTATCCTGGAAATTGGTCTGAAAGTTTGTTTTGATGATTTCTAGGTCAAGTTTGAATATGGGTCACATGGGTAAAAAACTAAATATGGATAATCCTTGTTAACACTGTAGTGGTCACATTTTTGACTCACCTGTCATGAGACTTGGTCAGAATGCTTGTCTAGGTAATTGTTTGGATGAGTTTGATGGATCAGGTGAGCGATCTAGGGCCATCATGGCCCTCTTGTAATACAGATGGAAATACTCTGCTTTTAATACAATGGAAAAACTCGGCTTTTAATACAGATGGAAATACTCGGCTTTTAATACAGAACTGTGTGTTAATTCTTACTCAAATCTTATTTATGCTAATATTAACCCTTGTCATGCTTAAGGTGACAACAGACACTTTCCGTGGTACTCACATAAATGTCATTTAAACTAAGTTATTTTAGTAATAATTGTTATTTATTTAATCTTTGTGCATTAAATATCGTTGATCATCATAAAAAATAACATATTTGAAAAAAATGCCTTTGTAAATGATTGATTTTGAATAAAAATCCTAAAATTTTAAATCGTCATATCAAAGTCATTTTTTATTTTTTTGTCATCAAACTTTTGGAAAATAACCATACTTATATTATCTGGGGAACCGTGTCTCAAATTTTTTCTATCTTTTCTCAAAAAAATATTACGTAACTACAAACATTTTATGCGACTTTTTTCACCATACATATTACGTAATTAAAGATAATTAAGTCGCTGATTGAGCAAACAAAAATCCCTGACACGGTTCCCTCCGTAAATGAATTTCCTTTCATGTGCTTTAAACCGCATGTTAATTGCTTGATTATTAAAAAAGTTATGCCGATTCAAAGTTAGTCCGACCCGCATCAAACGAAGTGTCATAAATCGGCTGTTCTCTCTCGGACCCCTACGTTTCACGCTAAATAATTGCATAATACACAAATATCGCACCAGAGAGGGTCACAAGTTGCGGTAACATACTCTAACAACATTTTATGACCCAGTGACATCTGACCAATTAAAAAGCTGCTGATTAATATCAGTTTATAGCCGAAATTTCTTCAATTCTTAACGTGATTTACTTTCCGTCTGGTATCTGTCGCACATGTCACGTGACTATCGGTAAAATATGAGGCACTCAGTGGGGGGAAATGGAACGCATTGCGCACCGCTAGCGGGGTATTTAATTGTTTCCTTTTTGATGTTTATTAAATTATTATCATCAGCATTATTATTGTATTATACCAGTGTCACTCTGCCTGTGTATTCGTGTATGAAATTCCGTTAAAATATAAAATAAAATAACAAAAAACTGAGCTTCTGACGGTCTTTTAAAGTCCATGGTAGATGTACAAATAAGAACGGGATATTATATATTTTTTTCCACCAAATTGATAATGCTTCACATATTTTAATAGAAATAAAAGATATTACTCGATCATTATGATCTGGCCTTCTTGACTTCTATTATCATGAATATCATCTATGCACGGCATAAAGATCCAGTTTCTACCGGGATAGACAATAAATTTCATACTTTGTCCCAGATTTATTAGTACTGTGTCCGATTTACTGGCGAACAATTTATTTTCACTGAAAATATATTTTAATATCTTTTTTTTATTCATAGAGAAATAATCATCCTTAGACAATCTAAAATGGTTTAGAAATTTGTCAGGGACACCTTACCACAAGTCATATAGGCGTTCACATAAAAAATGTTGTCTGTTTTTGTTGTTAATTGTTTTACTTGACATTGTTAGAAAACGAGGTTGAATGTAAAGTAAACCCTTGAATCCGTACAAAAGTCTATCAACTCAATGTAATATCTATCAGATTAACGGGACAGACAAATTATTCTCACACATTATGGATACTTTAGCAACTACATTTTTAATCAACCCCGTGGTCGTGCGATTTGCCGCTATGCTTAATTATTTATGTTTCATACATTATGTTACGTACATTGGCCGACAATTTTTTAATTTATAAAAAAAAGGCTAAATGTTGAGATATTCATAAAAGATGTACGGTAATTGTACGATACATGTATTACGAGTAGTATGGACCAGTATGGACCTGTAATTCACGCATATATGGAACTACCGATTTCCCTCATTGATGCCTCAACAGGGGGCGGAGCGTTATCGATAATCGACAGGTTACGCGAATAGCAGATACAAATAGTATAGGTACCGTTTTAAAACGTTTAAAAACACATTTTTTTGGACTAACTGTTTCCAAAATTAAATCACGAATGTGTTCAGAAAAGGTTGATAAATCTACTTAGCAAAAAATCTCATTTTAGGTATTTTCAGTGATAATTGATTCCGTTGTCACCTTAATATTTAAAATGGACTCGTCCATCTTTCAATCTGGACAAAACCCTTTATCATTTGTAAGGGAAAATTTCAAAATATGTTCTAACTGAATTAGGGAACCGTACAGACCATGATCGGCTCATCTTGCTGCCAGCAGGGTATGTGTTGAGTCTTGTCAATGTAGGGAGAACTGGCTGTGTATTGGTAGCATAATAGGTGCAATGACAGGCCTTGTAAGATGGTTTGGCATACATGACCAAGTGGTTATGGCTGCTGAATTCAAACTTTTTGCCTCCACATCTGTATGTTGAAGTTAAACACAGCTACCTTACAGGGTTGATGGTTTTTCTCAATATTAAACCAGGCCCGAGATAATTAACTTTTTTTATAAGACTTTTCATTGGACAATGCACATTGTGTAACAGTTTCTGACCAATCAAATACCTAAGATCAAAGTTTGAGCTTTGAAAATTTCTTAATAACCTTCACCCCTGCTGATGCTGGAATTTCACTGTATGACCCTTTTGCATTTTGATGTGATTTAAAATACAATAGAATATGATTATTAAATATGATAAAAATGTAGTTAACTAGGTTCAAATGTCTGTAACAAATACATTTATCTTTAAAAATCTTTTGCATAAAATTTGCAATTGGCACAACTTTTTTGGCATCAACTTTGTGTTGATGTTTATAGAGCTGAAAAAGTTAATTGTATGTTAAAATATGGTGAGATGATACTTCAAGTGTTTGAGGTCAAGGTCTTTAGGGGGGGGGGGGTTCATTCTGTGAGGGATGACCTCTTATACTTGGGATGGCATTCTTGCCAAATGATTTCCTTTTTTTTCCAAGACAATTTTATATAGACATGATAATGTTAATTGTCAGTTTCCTGTAGAAAAGGCGAGGTTAATTTGTGCTTTGAAGATAATGATTTAGGAGTGTTCAATTTTTTTGATACAATCATTTAATGCAATTGCCTCATCTATGTTTTGTTTGATAACAGAGTTTTTGTAGATAATGATGCTGTGAGGCTTCCTATGGCTATGTGAATGGAAATAGTAATTTCTCCTGTACTCGTAGTTATTGTAATAAAATAAAGACTATATTTCATTTATTTCAGTGTTGCCTTTTTTCCAGTCTTTTGGGAACAGGTCCCAGCCTGCCAAATTGGGATTTTTTTTACTCTCAAACATTTAATTAGGTGAAGTAGTCATGTCCATTGCCAAATTGGGAGCTTTTTTTGGTAAAATAGGGACATATAGTGCTTGGGAATGGGTTAGATTCTGGATCCATCGGCAGATTAAAAGGAAAAATAATACAAAAAAAAAGTAATTTAAAAAAGCAGAAATGATATACCGGGACTAAACATAGATTTTCTTCTATATGACGTAAAAATGATGTATTAATTTCAGATTGAGACATTTAAGCTGTATGTTGCTATTTATAGATAATTTATTTGTTTTTGCAGTTACATGACAATAATCGAGAGCTTACCAACATACGGCATTCATTATTTTGAAGTGAAGGTAAGCTATTTAATATGATACCCCCTTATGTTTTATTAATTTACCTGTAGAGAAGAAGTATATATTTGCCGCAGGACCACTATTGTTTCCCATTTCGCATGATCGCATCAATTTTATAGGAATTGGCAGCATTGTGAAATGGAATGATGTTAACGATACATTTTTGTCGTTTATTATAATGGTTCATTTCTTTACATATTATGATGTTCGTAAATATATTTGTCAGGCCATTGGGTTACTCAAAATGCTTTTTACTCCAAGATGTAAGCACTTTACACCTTACTTGTGACATGTGATGCAGAGATCTTAAAATTTCTTAAGAAATTACCTAGAATCTTTGCGTGAAGGGGGTGGGGGAACTGGTAATTACTGGTTAGGTTTACTGGAAAGCCTGTTAGGTGAACCTACCATCAAAATATGACCAAAAATGTGTCAAAATCAGGGTAAAAACCAAACCAACTGACAAAAAATATATTTATTCAATAGAAGGGGCCATAACTATTCATTGAGAGTCTTTTTAAGTGAATGTTAGTCTTTACCCCACAAAAATGGAAACCTTAGACATACAAACCTTAGTACCTCCTCTAGCACAATCATCCATAAGAATTGGATGATAATTATGAACTTTTGATAATCTTTAAAGATTTTACCATGGTAGAGAATATAGAAAAAGAAAATCTATTTGATCAGAGAATAGAAACACTGATTTTCTAGAAGATTCCGCTGTAATTATATACAGATCCTTGCAAGCTTTAAAAGCCTTCATAGTAATCATCAACATCATTCCACTCATTCTGTTAGCTGTTGGGAGATGTCTGGGTTGCTTTGGTACAGGTGTTAATCACAAGACACTACCAGTTGCTTCTTATTTATGTTTAACTGGAAGAAAAATGCGGAAAATTTATTGCAAGAAGCATATTGTTTTTAGTGTATTTTAGGGTAAGATTTGGCACTTAAGGGAAGGGATGTCAAAAATGACAATTTTCTAAGCTGGATATTAAAGGGCATTTAAGGCATCAGTCTAATAATGCTTTTCATTACCTACTTAACATTATGCTTCAAACATGTTGTTTGTTGTTAATTTCAAAAATTACGAAAATGTAAATGGCCGAATATTCAAACTTACAGTATAGATGGTCTGCAAAGATGTGCAGACTGGGCTGGTCAATAGTTTTTACTGGAGGTATAAGCCTGTGGTCACTTTCAGCATTTTAAAGGAATTATAAAAATCATTGACATTGTTTTTGAAAAATAAAAGACAGAGACATAAAATAAATTTAAGTACCATCATAGTTTTAGTACTGTTCACCATCATGTTGTTGTTTTCAGGATAAAAAAGACATTCCATGGTGGTTAGGTATAAGTAACAAGGGTATTGGTGTATACGATAAACAGGATAAAAATGTGCCTCGAAGGGTAAGTTCAGGTCAGGTTGTCTGAAAATTGAAAAATTCAAGCACTTAATGTGTTGCCGAAGACCTGCTTTTGTTCCATTTAAAGATCTTTCATTGAAAATTATGAAACCTTTCATGCAATAGTAATTCCTAATATGTTCTGAAGAAGAATGTTACATTGTGACCTTAACCATTATCATGTTAAATATCTGAAATGGACTTGTCCATCTTTCAATTGAGGCAAGATCATTCATCAACAGTGCAGACCATTCTCAGACTGCCCAGCAAGCTAATGGTTAAAGAGGTCATGACGTGTTCTGAATGGTTCGATTGTAAATAGAAAATGGAAGTCTGTATAATAATGAAAGTAGAAACAAAGAGAAAAAAAAGAATATTTAGCATTTCCGTTATTTATTTGTTTTTTAGGTGTGGTAATTTTTCTGGGAAATTGAATTACAGAATGTAAACAGTCCTTGAAAGAAATGTGTTTTATTCAAATACACTGGCATTTACAACTGTAATAAATTCTACAGAGTTTTTACAAAACCTTTCATCTTTAATTATTATTTATAAAAAAGCAACAAACAAAACATTCTTCAGATTTTCTTCTTGTTTTGTTTTTTGCCTGAAATTTACAATTGAAAAATAATGATTTTATATATATTAGGAGAAAAGAATTGTTTTTGCCTTAAATTTATATTTCATGTATTTGAGGAAAAAGGAATTTTGGGGAATAAGTGGGGATGGGGGATTTAGTGATTTCTACAGAATTGGATGTCTGCGGGTTTAATTTAAATTGGTAGACACCATGCAGTGAGAAAGAAACAGATTTTGTTCGTCTTGGTTGTCATTATTGAGTTAGAATAAGTGTCAAAGTTTGACGTTTGCCTATATAAGATGTCAAGTTAAGTCTGAATGTTCCACACAATCCTTCAAAATGAATTATTTAGACCATACTGTCAAATCTGTGATAGGTCTTGTCTATGTCTTGAATAGAAAAGTTTTGATTTACTGGCTTATAGAAATAGGAAAGAGAATATTTGATTTTCTAATACTTGATGGTTTACTTTGAAAATTGAAAGAGAAAGAACGTTTGCAATGTAGATGTAGGCAGTAAAAGGCAAAGTACTTTTATTGAGCTTATAAGGAGTGCTGGTCTCCATTGTAATTTATAAAATGAATTAAGCTTTTAGGAAGTACTGGTATATAATGCATATGATTATAGAATTTATTGAGGTTTCAGGAGCACTGGTGTTTATGAAATTCTGAGCTAATTTATAGTTCATATTATCACCTTAGTGCAGTAACGGGTTAACTCCTATAAAATTATAGAAGGAGTTAACCTGTTACTGCACTAAGGTGACAATATGCTTATCTGTGGCCATATTTAAAACTGTGAAGCATTTCAGGATATACTGGCTCACAATGCATTTTATGAAAAAAAAGTATATACATGTAGAGGTTTTAGGAGCACAATATACATATTGTCTAGAATGTTTTTATAAATGTTTACAGGTGTTTGTGTGGAAATCCCTAGAAAATCTGTACTACAGGGATAAGAAGTTTTCAATAGAAGTTCATGACCCAAAACGGTAAGTGTCAGCATCAAAGTTGAATGCTAGTATGGCTGTTTTATAACATTTTTGTTTTTAACCAGTTAAACCTTTTATAGACTTGTCTTTTTATATGCCCGAAAGAATTTCGTGATGCCTCCTCCCTGGCTTTATAAATAAAGCAAACCTTATTTTTGTTTGGTTTATATTTAATTCATTGATATGCAGTCTATGAAAGGTTTGACAGATTTACTTATCATTTTCATCACTTATGCACATATTTGTGAAATAAACAAAGGGTTTTGTAACATTTTTATCACATTTTCACCATATTTGCATGGTAAGCTTCCATGATAGTTTTATCAAATATTTTATTTACGCTAATTTTTATCAAAAATACCTTATATATCAAAGTATATATCAACATTTCAAACTACTGTGCTGTGTCAATAAATAAGAAAGCTGTTGTTTCTATGCACAAGATTTTTTTTTATTTTTAGCATAAGCACTGAAGTCAAAGAAATTGAAATGATAAAAATTCAAGAGTTAATTTGATTTTTATCAATTTTAGTTGTTGTTATTACCTCCCTTTAATTTTTATTTACTAACCAGTTTCATTTGAATGTTGATTTAACATAACAATTCTGTAAGAAGGTGCCTTTCTTCTAACCAGCTGTCTTTCTTAAGTTTGATGTGTGTTTGTGTGCATGAGATTTCCATGTTGTTTTGGCATCTTGTGTACTTTTCAGTTATATGCACCAGTTTATAGGGGTTTTTATAATGTTGTTTGCATCATGAAAGGTCATTTTTACCTTACTACGCCTTACAACACCTTACCACACCAAATGCAAGGTTATAGATATTTTAAGCATGTTTGTGTACTTTCTAGAAATGTCGCAATAATGAGTATTGATATTATCAGCATTGTAGTGAATGTTTGTTCCACAATAATTGTTGTTCTTTTTACCTTACCACATTATTGATATTGTCAGCATTTTGGTGAATGTTTGTTCCACAATAATTGTTGTTCTTTTTACCTTACCACATAATTGATATTGTCAGCATTTTGGTGAATGTTTGTTCCACAATAATTGTTGTTCTTTTTACCTTACCACATAATTGATATTGTCAGCATTTTGGTGTATATTCCACACATGCTCTTTTTACCTTACCACATAATTGTTTAGGTAATTGATATTGTCAGCATCTTGGTGTATGTTCCACACATGTTCTTTTTACCTTACCTTAGCATTCATTTATATGTGTTTTACCTTACCACACCAATGTTTTGGAAGTTGATATTGTCAGCATATCTGTGTATATGTTCCACCCATGCCCTTTTATACCTTACTACTTTGGTAGTGAAGATTTTAAGCATCTTGTTGTATAAGGCATTGTAGGATTAGTTCTTAACAACATTTTACCACTGGATTAACACTGTTTTACCAGGATCAGTTATTAACAGCTGTTAACCATTAGATTACTTAGAATAAGTTCTTAACAGCATTCTATGACTAGATAACCGTTGAGATCCATTCTCAATGGCAGTTTACAACTAGATAACTGTTCAGGATCAGTTGTAAACAGCATTTTACCACTGGATAACTGTTATAGGAATTTACAACTGGATAACTGTTAGGATCAGTTGTAAACAGCATTTTACCACTGGATAACTGTTACAGGAATTTACAACTGGATTACTGTTATGATCAGTTGTAAACATCATTTTACCACTGGATAACTGTTACAGGAATTTACAACTGGATAACTGTAATGATCAGTTGTAAACAGCATTTTACCACTGGATAACTATTACAGGAATTTACAACTGGATTACTGTTAGGATCAATTGTAAACATCATTTTACCACTGGATAACTGTTACAGGAATTTACAACTGGATAACTGTTAGGATCAGTTGTAAACAGCATTTTACCACTGGATAACTGTTACAGTAATTTACAACTGGATTACTGTAAGGATCAGTTCTTAACATCATTTTATCTCTAGATAACAGTTCATGAGTTAGAAATGGTTGTAAACAACATTGGCGTGGCCTTTTAGTAGTTTTATAGGCGAACATATATGAATGTAGGCGTACATTATGCTGCTGAAGTGAAGAAAATGTACATTCCAAGACATACATTAGGTAAAACTTCCACTGATTATTGTAAATGGTCATCCTAAAAATTCTTAGGTCATTGTTAACAAAATTAATTCAAAACGATTAAAGACCAGCCTAATAATAACACAAATGCAAAGGGCCCTGAAAGTTAAAAAAACCCAACAGTTTACACCTTCCTGATAGTTAAAAAAAAACCAACAGTTTACACCTTCCTGATAAAAAAAAACCTAACAGTTTACTACACATTCTGTAATTCTAAATGCAACAATGTTAAAAGACTTACAGTCAACACTATGTTTAGGAATAATCTTTTTAAGTTAATTCTGCACTCTCAAAAGTAACTATTTATATGCCAAGAATTTTATTTTGGTTAAGTTATATATATGACACTTACACTTAAAAGGTCATGTGGCAAGAAATATAAAAACATGAAAGAGCTCAGACTGTTTACTTTACACCGTTTATGAAGTGAAAATTCGAATCACAAAGGTAATCTGAGGGCTTAAATGGATTTTAAATTATTTACAAAGTAGAGATAAAGATAAATAGAGTTTAGATCATTTAGCAAGTGGAAATAAAGATGTTTGTAATGAGGCATTAGAGTCACCTGTAATAATTCCATCACTCACAAAGATGTAAGCACTCCTAAATCGTCTTAAGTGTTGTAAGTGTTGTAAGATTTGTGGATTTTGAAAGATATTTGTGGATTTTTTTTTGTCTTTTTAAAAAGTGACCAGAATTTGGCGGAAAAAAAGGTGGCAAATCTGTTAAAGCCTTTTTCTTCTCAAATATGTTTGGAATTTTCTTTAACAGATTAAAAATCAAATTTTCACAGTGGACGTAACTGTTACTTAACAAAATATTTTGCTTTGCTTTGGTTTTATACTGCTTGTTTGAATTGTATTTATCATGCAATTGAATGCTTCAAATGACTTTGAAAGTGTCAGCTTTGTTTAAGATATTAAATATATTTATCATATATTAAATTGAATGCTTTAAGAAGAATTTGAAAGTGTCAGCTTGTTTGGATTTAGCAATGCAATTGTGTGTGCTTTTGAAGATTATCTCTTACCTTTAGATGTAAAGCTTTTTTTTCATAATTTTATATTGTTCTGTTCAAATGATCATTTAAGTTGGCATGGTTAGTACCCTGACTGAGTGGTTAGAGTAGCTGACTTCAAATTACTTGCCGCTTATTGCTGTGGGTTCAATTCCCACCATGGATTTTGGATCATGTGAAAGGTTATCAAACTAATCTATTATGTATGGTTGGTGGTATAATACTTAGATGTCTGCTTGTGCCTTCAACATTACTCAGAGTCACACTGAAAAAAAAAAACACACTAGAAGTTGCCATATGACTTCTACATTGTCATTGTGACTTAAACCCAACAAAAATATAATCAAGGGGTTTGTGGGGCACATTTTAGTTTGTTGTAAATGTAAATGCTATATTGTCAGCAGTTTGAAGAAGTTCTGTGTCTACAGAATCATATCGGAAAAGAAACTGTAAGCATCAAGAAAGTATGTGACATGACTATACTGTATGACCATAGATTGCTTATTTGTGACCTTGACCTTTGCTGAAATTGAAATAGAATTCTTTTTGTCATTCATCTACTTTCATTCTTTCTTAGAAAGCGCTGCTTTTCCTGTTTAACCTGTACATCTTACCTTGTCATTTCCTGTATTTTCCTTGTGTTCATATCAAATCAACTTTCTAAATAACTCAACTTTCAGTTGCTTGATTGTTTCTTTCTGGTGATTTCTTTATCATTTTGTTAATTCTTTGTGGTATTTTTTTTGTCATTTCCATTGACCAGTTGATCTTTTTCATAGAACTGTGTGTGCTTTTCTTTTCCCTGCTGCATGTTGAAGTTCTTTGTCTATATTTTTGGTCTTTCTGTATCCTTTTGTCCCATTTTCCTGTCTTTAAAGGAATCATCTTTTTGTCACTTTTCCAAGCTTTCTTCCATTTCTTTTACTTTTACTCAAATTGTTCCCTATTACTGCTATGTGCTTTACTTTCCCTGTTTTTAAAGGAATCATCTTTACGTCACTTTCCAAGCTTTCTGCCATTTCTTTACCTTTTACCCCCATTGTTCCCTATTCCTGCTATATGTTTTACTTTTGTGGCTTTGCTTTGTGTAACTATAAGTTCTTCTTATTGAGGCACCTTCTTTCAGTGTAGAAATTAGTATATAGGGAAATAAAATAATTAATACTGACTATTATTTCTATTTTTTTTCTCAGCAATATCTTTTAATAACATTTTAAGTCATATAGTGAAAAAAAAAAAAAAATGATTCTGGGGTGTGAGATTTATACTTTATACATTACTAACCCTAAATTTTTATATTCGCATTTTCTCCAATATGATATGTTTGAAATGACAAGTAACATAATTGTACATGTGTGAATAATTTGTTTTTGTAATGCATATTCAAGTATATATATATATATTTAGGCAATATTACAAATTTGTAGCTGGAAGACGGTGCTTTGATTTTTCTTGCTAGTATATGTTCTATCTATCTTTCTGTCTATATATAGTATAGTTCACACGTTGAGCAGTTTCAACCTGTACGAGGACGCCATTCGAGAGCGAGTCGAGGAATGTGACGATCTCTCCGACGCAATAACTGACCCGTCAACTCAGTAAGTTTGAATACATGTAAGATATTTTGAGGCGAATCTTCTGGTATTTAAAACAAGTCAAAGCAGCAAATACTGGTAACTTAATTTGATGAGTAATTTAGTAATTTAGGTTGAAAACAGTAAGTAAATGCTGTGTTAGCTAAGTTTATTTTATTGAATATTGGACAATAAGGTATATGTGCAAGATAAGTGGAAATGAAAACCAGGGTCATCTGATGAAGATGTCTCTGAAAATGACCAATAAAAGATCTCAAGTTCTATTTTCATCTTCCTTAAAACATTTAAGGGTCGTGAAACAGGAAGGGGTGAAGGGTTAAAGGAATAATAATTGTTCCCAGTTTGCCTGTCTGTATCATTGACTAACCGTTTCTCATAAGCACTTTATTCATTGACAGATATATTTAAGATATTTAGTATGCAGTTGCCTTGCAAGGGCATTCTACTTTTTGGTGGTATTTGACCTCCATCAGTGGGGTCAGGGTCAGTCACTGTGATGAAGTCACTAACAATTTATATTTTGTCTGGGTTTCTATTTGTGTCTGTGTCAAAACTACATTGGAGAGCATTGATTTGAGACCTTGTATGAAGTAGTAAAGGTAACTGATTTTGTATATTTAATCTGTCATCCCTTTTGGTTTTGTTCAGACTCAGGATGTCAAAATTCTTAAATTTAAAGTATTCCACCAAACATATCTACTCCCAGGTACATTCCTGTATCTTGAATAATGAATGCACAGAGTGTCTCCTTTTGATCTTCTTTTGTTCATGAGCAAAGTTAGAAATTCACAGTACAACTTCTCTGTCAATTTAATTTGAAACCCAAGAAAATGAAAGCTTAAAAAAGGAATATTTGTTTTCCTTTATAGACAGCACAGTGAGTTTAAAGCACATATATATTGATAAAACAGTCTATAAATAGGTTTGCATAGAACTTTTTCTCAGACAATGACATATAAAAACAGCAATATAACCTGATAAAAGAGACAACAAAAGCTGTTAGCTAATTATCCAATCAAAAACGCTCAAGACGGGTTTTAGTCTGGTCACATGGGGTCGCCAGTTTTGAGTGCTTTTTCTGATATAGTTACATTATGTACATCCGAGATTGTCAAATAAGTCTGTCAAAGTTGATGAAAATCTATCGGTATGATATGTAATCATTAATACGAATGTCAGTCTTTGGAGTGCTTCTGATACAATTATTCATTACATCCCTAGTCTGGTCCGTCAACTCCGTACATTTACCGTTATCCATTCATTTTGTATTCACAGTTTTCTCTTCCATAGACAATATGTTATGTAACTGACAGTTAATAAGAAAGCAAGTAGCTGTGGAAATAATCAAATAGACAAACTTTTGTTGGTTGTAGATGACTTTTTCTGTTTATTACATATTTTATTGTAAAGTTTAGGGTATTTATCAAATATTTTCTGAGGTGGTTCATTATGAATTTAAGGTGTTAAAAATTTGGTTCTATCATATATAATGAAGAGTGTTTCTAAGTTTCCTGATGACCAAAACTGCGTTTGAGACAGTCAATTTGGCCTACTGTCGCCTCGTATTGACAACCCTGAAATTCTGTTTGCCATATTTTGCACATTTGGCTGGTGTTAAAGTTACTTATGTAAAAGGATGATTGTCATTCAGAAAGTGTGATACTGATGTTTGGAGGGTAGGGACATAAGCCTTTGGGTACGGATAGAACTAAGGAAATTTGAGGACACGGTTATGCTTTACATTCCTGTGATTTTCTCATCTCCAATAGACATTTATGTATTATTTTGGTATCTGTAGAGTTATGTGGAAGTTTTTTTCTGGGAAGGGCTTACTGAAATGTTGCTAGAACTTATTGACCAACACATTTGCTTTTGTTTAATTGTCCAATTTTCTGTGTATATTCGCATGTATATAGGCAATAAAAATGGTTAAACTAAAATTAGAAGTTTTTTTTGAAAATATGAATTATCTCTCTTTGTCCTTTATATAATTTATACATAGATGTTTTGCATGGAATATTTTGATCACAGCATGATGTGCACATATTGTGTATTATATTATCTCATGTGAATCATTGTTTGTAACCTTATATACTGCTTTGTACAATAAGGCACGTTTGTAATGTTGATTTTCATCATTTGTGTTGTTGATTTTCATTGGGCAGTCATAATTTTATGACCTGTATAGTTAGTATGTCTGCTGCAGATTTATCAAATTTATTTTTAGATTTATTGATTTATTTTTCGATTTATTGATTTATTTCTAGATTTATTTTTATTTCAAATTAGAAAGCAAATGTGCAGTGTTTTAATATTTGCTATCAGAACTTTACAATGATTTTGTATGGCCAGTACAAACAGTTGTTTAGTGCACTGATTCTTATACCTATTGGCATAATATTGCTGGAACTGAATGTGATTGGCCATTGCCACCAGTATAGAGTCAGGCTAGTCTGCACATTCCTGTATGCCTGTAGCATAATGGCTGACCAACTTCAAATTTTCATCAATATATCTCCTTATTTAATAATGGATAGCTTCAAAAAATAAAAACTGGATATAGATATGAAATACAACAGGATAAGGGAAAATATATTTTTCCAAAGTAAAATTATTTTATAGATTCTTCAGTCATCACAATGCATACAGTTTTATTTTAAAATCTTTAAAAAAAAATCATGTTAAACTGAACATTGTTTGTTTACTGTATTACAGGGTATCAGTTAGCAGACGGACATTTGGCCCGGGCAATGTGAATGTTCACGCCTGGTTTGGTCTGACACCACAAGTGACAAAATGTATCTGGTCAATGGCTGTGGCTCAACACCAGTTCTACCATGAGCGGAAAGCAAGCAAAGTAAGTCGTAGTGTTACACAGTGAGAATGAAGGCAGATTTTCATCAAACTTCACTTGTATGTGGTCAATCGGGCATGGATATATAACTTTAAATTTCTTAATGCTGGCGTGAAAACTTCAGTGCCTTTGCCTAAAGAATAAAAGAAGGTTTGGTTGCTTCAGCGTCTGTGTTTTAAGTATAGAAGTACGTCAAGTCAGCACATCAGTGCTGTCTAAACTGACTCAGTACTGTTGGCTGATCAGCTCTTAAATTTATCATTGTCATATCCCTAAAATTGATAATGGACCACTCCAAAATGAAAGTTGGAGAAGTCCATATAGCATGTTTAGGGTGTAAAAGCAAAACATTATTGAAAAACAAGTAATAATAATTTTATTCCTACAAATCTTCGATATATTTTCTGAAATTAATTTTGACGTTTCAGAACAAATTCTCAGAAAGTTAGCCTTCATTCCAAGTAGTTTTGATATGTTATTTATATGTATTCAAGCAGTTTATGTCATTTGTGTAATTTTCTTCACTGCATCGTTTTCTGTAGGGAAATTTTGTTGCAGCTGAAAGTGCAAAAAAAATGACAAAATGTTTTGAAGAGAAATCCAGATTGTCTCAAGTAAATGATATAGATATAAGATGATATTACAATATTCAAATTCACTTCCTCTCTGAATTATAGATTGGTAAATTCTGAAACTCTGTAAAAGATTTTTTAACACAGAATTTTGAATTTGAAAGTGAAAAGTTTCAGGCTGTACATTATATGATTTTCTATAGAGAGTTTTTGACTGATATGAAATTAAGCAAGACTAGATATTGATGCTTACAAAAAAATTCTATCAGCTTAACATAATTTTTAAGCATAAGTAAACAAGTTTTTCGCAAGCTTTTGATTGGTTAGAAATAAGTCAAAGTTCTTGTAAAAATTTCTTTATGTGGGCTTTGATTATTGGTTTACTGGCAAGACTTCAGTCTGTCCTTTGCAATCAGACCATCTTGCAACTTCTCAATTTTGATATTTTGATATTTTTACATTCCTTAAATTAACAATAAACAGCCCAAATTCAAAATAGGACTCCATAAATATAGAAAATTTAGAAGCATAAGATTGTGTTCTAAAAATGATTAGGACAATGTAGTGTAGAAGGTTGTAATAAATGATACAAGCTGCTTAAAGATCCTGATCAATGTAATGTATATGTATGTTATGCTACGATTATATATCTTATTATCCGTTGCCGACCACCATTAGGTCAATGGCATTTTTGTTTTACTGATTTGTGTGAGCATATTGCACAGTCCGTGCCCCTTTGGGTGGGCAGGATACTCATACTCAATGATTTACAGACCAGTCTACCATCGGCAAGAAGTGTGAGCGAACTAGCCACCGAACTATCCCGCAGCACGTCATCACTACCAGGGTCGCTGGGCTCGGACATCAGTCGTAGTGGGAGCTCAGCCAGTCTGCCCAGTCTTACAGCTTCAAGATTTGATCGTAAGTTTTATGAAAATTCTGGTAGACAAATTTTGTTTTCATTCTGATGATTGGTGTTCTACTGAAACATATTTAAATCCAATTTTACATAAATAACTTAAGTTTTACGTAAAATCATAAAAATTATCATTAATTTTGTAAATTTATCAGTTATCAGAGTACTGTACAAATAGCTTTCATAAAAAATAAAATGAAAATATAAAAAAAAAGAAAACAATATCAATTCATTTAAGTAATGCTAGGGAAAATACTTTTTGTGTATTTGTATACCTTAAAGCCTCTAGTATAGATAATATGTAAAATAGAAACAGAAGCCAGTCTGTCTGGTATATGCATTAATCAAGCACATCATGTAACATACACCACTAGGGAAATCTAACAGTTTATTTGGTAGTGATTTTATGATAGGAGGAGAATGGTTTATTTATGGTAGTTAAGTTAGACACAACAATTCCAAGGTTATACAAAATAGATATATAGTTATGTATAGTTAGTTAAACAGCAGTGGGTCAATCTGATATATTGTCTGTCAGTAGTAGTTTCTCAGTACAGACTCACAATGTGTCAAGTCAGGTTGACGTTAGTGGATAACACAACTTTGGTAGAAGACTCAGGTCCTCATTGGTTTTGTCGTGACGCGGCTCATATAGTTAAGTATAAGAGCATAAATGTCTACCAGTATAGAGCCTTTAGTCATTAGTTCTCGGTCAGATCAGTCTCAACAATGTTCACTGATTGATTTCAGAATTTTGATTGTGAAAATTTGTTTTGTTTTTGATTTCCCATTAATGTCAAGCCCCATTTAGGTGGCCTAGAGGTGTGCCTTAAGTCTCGCCATTTGACAGCTTTCTGGGTAGTATATCCAGTAATCCCACCAGTGTTAATGGTGAAAGTCGAAAGAGATTTTTGACCGTTATTGGATTTAACACAAAACCTTTGGATAGGAAGTCTAATGTCCCCTCTTTGTTAGCAATATAACTGGACATATTACAGAAGTTGAACCGGAAAGAGTAAAAATGTTAGTTGAACCCTCGAACATTACCACTCCTGCTGGCATGTCTTGTTTTCCATGATAATCACAATTTTAAAAAAAGTTCAGACAACCTGACAATTGTGTTTGTTAAAATATCTCTGATCATAGGTAAGGCGCCAACAAGTTGAATGGTTTTACTATATATATTTTTCTAGATCAAGTTTGTAAGCTGGTAGATTTTGTATTATTGTAAGCTTAAGTATATATTGGAATTGATGAGAAAATTGCTGTTTTTATTAAATTTGTATAAGACAGTGTGATGTAGTTCTTATTTTCCCTTTGTTGTTTTATTGAAATGTTCCGATTTGATAGCAGATTTTCTAAATAATTATTTAGCTGTACATTATTTAATCTATTCAATGACAAAATGTCCTTGGAATAAGGTTTTTAGGTCAGAGCCCATGTCTTTAACCAATTGTGTTATATATAATAATCATTAAGACAGTTTTGTTTCAAGAGTGAAATTGAGGAAGAAAGCTTTTATTATAATCTGTCAAACTTTGTTAAAATGGAAGGTCGGTTACAATCTTGATTACAGTTTTGCATGTCAAATGTTGCAAGATGTTAAAGGTCATGTTAATGCATTGAAACAGAGAATGTGTGCAATTGTAAAAAACAATAGAAGGTTGGGTCATGTGCTTCTTGTTTTACATGTTTGTGTTGTAAAAGATTCACCACATAATATAATCATGGCAAATGAATAAAGTGTATCATTCTATATATTATAGTGTATTATCTTGCACGAGTTATGATTTTAAGCCTAAACTTTCTGAGTTTCTTAAACAGATTTGTCATGCTTCCATTCATGAAACAGTTCACAATTGGGGTATATCATGGTGAAAAATAAATGTTAGTCAACCAGCAGTATAGTGCCTGGTCATACTGAACAAACGTGCACGCTGGCCTGTTACTATACTGGTGGAAAATTGCTAAATTGCTTTTTTTTTGGTCCATTTGAGATTCACTTGTTATTTTTTGTGCTGTAAATATTCTTGATTAAATAGGCCATTACAGATTGATTGAACAAGGTTGTCCACTTGTCACAGTTCAGATATTTAGAGGAGATAGTATGTAAGCAGCTGAATAGCTCAGTTGGTAGAGCAGCTATACGGCATTCCGAGGGTCTCAGGTTTGAGTCCTGGTCAGACTGCATATTTTTCATATGCTGTGTATTGATACACTGATTATGAATAATTTTGATTTGTCTATTTCTGAAACTAAAACTTTATTACAACTGATGATATTAGTGCAGAAATTTGTATAACTATTTATTGCAAAGGGTTGACTTGCTTATATCCAATTATCAATTATGACTTGTCCAATTATTACAATTATTACAATTATTATTACGAAACTGAAACACTATTACCCTACATCAGATTACTATAGTGCAGAATCTTGTCTGATGATAATATGTTATACTATATTATGTTTGATTAAGATAAGCCCGGGATACAGTTACATCCCATGTTTGTGTGTCTGGGTCATTTGGAAATTACATTAGTGTCATGATAACTTGTAACAGACAGGTGTCAGTTATTTTACTTTTAAGTCAGCTGATCCATTTCTGTGATAATAAAACAATTTGTTAACAAGTGATTACTAAGAATGGATGATAGTTGCTTTAATGATATTGCAAACCAGGTGTTTCTGTTTCTGACAGGTTCCAATTAACTGATTTTCAGTTTCCCTCTATCTGTGCTTAAAGTGTGGGTGTATTACTGAATTATTTCAAATGAAAAAAACAAAAAACGACACATTTTAATTTGGTCACAGGAAAAGTATTGAACCCAAATAAAAAGCATTGAACTTGCCAGTTGCTTCAGATAAAGAATTGTCCATTAGTAATGTCTGTTGCAGCATTCTATCAGATAATACCAGTATGTAGAATCAGACGTTAATTTTATCCTCTCAGGCATTTTTTTCATGAAAAAAGAAAATTTAAAAACACACCTTGAAAATAAAGGTTGATTTTTCATCCCTTTTACTTTAAGACTGTCAAATTTGGCATGAAGTGGGAAGTGAAGTAGCGTGGACTTGTCCTGGTGCTTCTGTATTTTCGAACTGTTACATTATCAAATTTAGGATATTGATATGAAAATTGGAAGTTGGTAAAAACAAAAAAGAAAAAAATGATATAAAGGTGTGATAGGAAGAATGTGATTATTTGGAAGTTGAAGTTTCTGTTTAAATGTCATAGTTTGGTTAACCTGTATCATGTTTTTGTCATAAAATCTGATCTGTTTTTTATTGTAAAGGGTAATTTTAACTTGAAATTTGATCATGCTTTATAATATTTTCTAGACATATTATTGTTTTGTTTACAGCCATATTGAAACTGATATAAGATATGTTAATGCACAGTAAGATATAATAAAGTTATTTACATTTTAAAAATGATGACATATACTGTAAATTCAGTGCCGGCAGTATTTTAAATGTATATTATAAGGTTACTAAGGGTGCAAAGAACAGCTACATAATTATAGAGAATATAGGATGTACTTGTATAAACAGTTACATATAGGCAATATTGTACTCTAAACAATTACATATAGGGAATATAGTGCAATGAATAATTACATATAGGGAATATAGTGCAATGAATAATTACATGTAGGGAATATAGTGCAATTAATTAGTATTAATTATAAGCAATTTATTATATGGAATAATTGTATAATTGTAATAAGCATGACATTCATGCAATAAGGAAAGCACTATTCACCTTTAATGACAATAGGGATTGATGGAGCTATCTTACATTTAGCTGCAAAAAATAGGTTTTATGAATAAATATTAAATTGAAGGATTTCAAATGGAGTGGATTGCACAAAAGAAGTATGCTAGATCAGTAAATTATTTGTTTTTTATACCCCTAAATACCAGTAGACCAACTGATCAAGAGCATTGTGCTTCTGAACAAAGTCATGGAAGCTGACACATAATGCCGTATTTGTATATACAGTATTTTATACCTTGTGTAACCTGTCCGACAAAAATGAAATAAAGAAAAAAAAACATGTATATATAAAATGAACAAGGGCATGCATGGAAAATTTATATCATCTGACAAAAGCAGAAACTGATTTGGCAGGTGTAGGTTTCTGAGCACAAAAAATATATTGCTGTGATTTAGAAATGTACATTAAGAAAATGGACAGAGCCCTTGTGTGAGTGTAGGCAAGGAGCCACTATAATGGTAATCTGTCAAGGTAATGTGTTTTTAAACAGGTGTTTATGGCTGGCTTAATGGTCAGGTCATTTACTGTGGTGAGGGAGTGGAGACAACTGATCATAGCAACTGTCAATTATTGCCCGGCTAATTAATGAATTGTCACAGGGAGAGTACAAGAAGAGCACAAGAAGTAGTTTGTAGAAAACAGCCTGTATATTTACTACTTGAATAAATGGTTCAAATAGTTCTCTTATGTCTCTTACAGGATGGAACTTAATGAATTTTTTTGTTGTTGTTGGTAAGATTTGAGGGGTAAAAAACAACAAAATAAGCCTGTTATGTGGTTATAACATACAGAGATTGTTTTTGTCATTTTATAAAGAGGAAAAGAGTTTAAATTTTCTCATTTGGGACCAAAGTGTGCAAAGAGAAATTCTTACTAAAAAAACCTAATGTAAACTATTTTATGAGAATTTGTATGATGTTAAAGAGATTTTCTTTGGTAAGCTAAGCTGTTACTACATTATAAACAACTTTTTGTGATGTTGTTATTGCATGGCCCAAATTTAAACTCTGCACATCGTAATTACATCCAATTTTTAGCTCACCTGTCACAAAGTGACAGGGTGAGCTTTTGTGATCGCTTCTCGTCCGGCGTCCGTCCGTCCGTCCGGCGTCCGTCCGTAAACTTTTACTCTAAATGACATCTCCTCATAAACCACTAAGCCAATTTCATCCAAACTTCACAGGAATGTTCCATTGGTGGTCACCTTTAAAAATTGTTCAAAG